ATAGGACACACGTGTAAATACTGAATAGTTTCTCTAGTGTGAGAAACTGAAAGTGTAAATAAGGATTAAAATGACTAAAATGAATAATCAATAATCTGAAATAGGAAGAAAAGGTTCAAGGGCTAGGGGTGGCAGGAGGAGAAGGGGAGAGATCAGAGTTACAGGCTGGAATCTGGAAAGAATCCATATATAGATTGTGTCTAAAATTACAAGAAGAGATGTAGATAGGGACTAGGCTGGAGCTCATCAGTGGGTTGGGAAGGAAGAGTCACTGAGATCAAAGAGAAGGATGTGTTCCCAGAAGAAGCACATACAACTATGTACAGTACATAGTACTGGATAGTGTGATAAATGACTGTTACTGTTTTAGGTACTTATCATAACATGCTGTGCTTTTTATCCTTTAGAGCATAATCTTACTTATTTAAAAGAGTTTACTGGAAATCAGGTTGGTGCTATGCCAGTGGTAGCCTCAGGTATCTTGTGTTTAACTGCGTACTTGGATAATACCAAGGGGCCATCACAGATGATTGAAGTATACCTTTTCAATTTGCACTTAGAAGTTGGCACTCCGTGTGGTATTTTGTGATACATACACATGGATGAAATTGCCTAATAACGTATTTCTCAGATTATATTTCCATCACGTGTGATATGACTGTATTGAAATTTAAATTTAAAAAAAAATTTGGCCTATGTGGAGTCTACTAGCTAACTAGAATTTTTTTTTCCAGATCACTATTTGTTCAATATTAGTTTTGAAAATCTTTTTAAATCTTTTTTTAATCTTTTTAAAACAGATCACATCCTCTGATGTCTTGTTAATACTTGAGATTTTTTTTAAATTACACAGAAAAATGTTTAAGTACTTTTCAGTTTTGTTTTGGTTGAGTTCTACTATATTTGAATATTATTATAGTTTTTTTTTTCCTTTGCATTGTTTTTCTTGGAATAATTTTAATTTTTGTATATGTGTGTTTGGTAATACAGTTGTACATTTTAAAATAAATTAATTTCTGACTTTAATAATTGACAAAGATGAAAAATTAGCTGTTTTATTTTCTAAAGAATTAGATAAATAAGATAATTGTTTTTCATTTTGATAAGTTGGAGATACTAAAACATTTAGTGGGACTGGGGATTTAGCTCAGTGGTTTCGCCACCTGCTGCGCAAGCACAAGGACCCAAGTTCGATCCCCGGTATCAAAAAAAAAAAAAAAAATATTAGTGGACCCATTTTTTTGAATTAAGGAAATTG